GATGTCATTAGAGGAAGAGGGGGTGGTGGTGATGGTGATTGTGTGTGTATGTGTTTGGGCATGACTCCATTTATAAAATCACATCCTAAGAATACTTACTTTAAAAAATTAGAAAAATCCCAGTAAGTTAGGACTTAATCTGAGCGAGTAGTGCTTATGATTATAAAATGTACTGTGTCCTCTAAACTACTAGAAACAAGGCAGAGTGTGTGTCTGTGTGTTGTAGACACTCTTGCAATATAAAACACAGTGAAGCATCAATCTGACACACTGTCACCCCTCCCTACTCTTTCTCCATTTTGCCTTAAAAATGAAAAAGAAGTCAAGTCTGTTAGGAGTGATGAGGGCAGAGCGAGGCCGATGATCTCTGAGGTTATCTGCTGAAATATGTGGAATCAGAAGTAATTTGAAATTCCTTGTGTCAGTTTTGAGGCAGTGATTTTGTCCATATATTTGTTTGTTTAGAAGAGCGTGATTGTAAAGAGAAATAATTACCCTTTATGCACCTGGAACCCAGGTCTCCTCTTGTCAAACCAGCCAGTTTCCAATTAGTAGCAGAGAGCATTGTGCCACTATCCTGTGCCTGAAGACACAAAGGCAGGTCATACCACAGTGTTCTTGCTCTGCCATTCATTAGGCTGGGTCATGCAGCTGCTCTCAGGAGTTTGAAATTACATTTGTGAGCATCTCACATAACTCTACACAGTACTGTAATTCTCTTCAATTCTGAACCAACTGTCGCTATCCATAATTACTGGGCCACATGACAAGCTCTGCTTTATGCGCTATAACTAATATATATCACAGTCTGGGTTAAATTACCAAAATGGCCAGAGTGTGACCTTGCACACAGTAAATTGTGAAACATCCACCTGAAAGGAATGCGTCACAAACAGCTTTGTAATCCTTTGGGTATTTGCCTGGCAGCAGCGCTAGTTCCCGAGGCAGTACCTGGTGAGGACATACAGTCAGTTACATCATTTCATTTACTTCTAAAGAAAACATAACTATGTAAAAATCTCTTTCGTTTCCTTGGTATCAAATTTGCTGATAGCACATATTTTGCAGGTTTCTTTACATTTTTCCAAAGAGTAACACAGAAAAAAAACTGACTTTATACATTAGAAAGATTTTGTTGTTTGCTGGGATAGTGAATATATTTGATGTACATATTTACAAAAATTCAAATAGATAAATTGACAGTAGAATACAATTTTTGTAACAAAAAATAAATAAAATACTTAAGTATAAGCAACAAGCATTAAGAATTTAAACAAGAATATGAAAACTAGGGGGAAAGAAGAGTTTTGATTATAGCTTGAATTTGCCACTATTCTTAGTGTATTTTTGGCCCTCTTTAGAAGCAACAGGACATAATGTAGCACCTTCTTGTGATTTAGCCTGAGGTGGACGTGTATGTTTTGGTTTTCGTCCAACTACAGAAATGACATGTCAATAGTCTTACAACCTTACAATCCTGAAAGAAAATGTCTTCTGCACTTCACCATGACTCTGCAGCTGAACCTCCTGCATGTTGAGAGTCGGACCCTTTGAATGGCAGCAGGAGTCATGCTGGCTGACAGAGGAATGTGCAGCAACAGTTCCAGACATGTCGAGCTAAACACAACCACATAGGCTTGTCCAGTGAGTGAGTTTGTACGGCACATTGCTCCAGTTTAACAATGAAAAAGCTGTGGTAAATGTGCTGGAACCTAATGGTTGTTTCCTATAACATTTACTACTTCACCAAGACGACTGTGTTTGTTTGATAGGTGAAATAGAAACAAATGTTGGTACCAAACATACAAAAAACATCTTCTCTGCAGAATTTAATTCAAGTGGTCCATGTAAACTAGACTCCTGCACCTCCTCTGGGCTCTCTTTTCAGGCTTAAGAAAGTCTAACTGCTATAGTCCCTGCGTCTTGATTTTGATTTTTTCCTAGAAGATTCCCAGTTTTTGGATTATGTGCACTGATCTGTTTTTTTGTATGACATCAGCAATAAAGCATCTTTTTGTGTTTATGTGTGATTATCCGAGTCCTCCATTTTGAATACTTCTCCTACTTGTCAGTCATCGGTCTATTTAAGATTGTAAGAGGAAAAAATACATGCCTAAAATGATATATTTCACCAACATGTGACACTGGACTGTTTTTAGCTGACTATAGCACATTTACCAGGTCATATAGACATGTACAGTATACTGATGGGGTAATGAAATATTTCTTTATTTTATGCCTTTTAGAGACCAACTTTAGCTTGTGAAGTTTTGGACTGTTTGCATTAGTATTCTTATCCTATGATACTATTTCAGGTTTAAATGTCATTTTTATGTTGAGGCATTGCTGGTTTAAATTTAATAAAGTGGATGACTGCCTTGAGTATGAAAAAATGATAAACAATATGATTAGAAAGTAGTTATAGTTGTATGTCTCGCTGTTGCAAAATGTGTCACAACGCCTGGTCATGGCAACAACAACACCATGGTGATTTAACTACCCCCCACCAGATGGCTGCTTCACAGCAAAACTTGCAATATAAAAACTGATCAGAGATTAAAGACCCCTTTTGCAGAATCCATAGGGCCCCATCTGCCCATTTATTAAGCCACAACCAAACCATGAAGGATGGGAGGGGAAAAAAAGAATTTGTACAATAATCTTTGTACAAATTCAACATATAGTATTTGATCTCGAGGCTTGCAGATCTCATGCTGTTGTCCACAAAATTTCTTCCAAATGTTTGGCATTTAAGTTGAACAAAATTTTAAAAAATCAATCTTTGCCTCTTTATTTTAAACATTGGCTTCACTTAAGGTTTTCTTTGTTCAAGAATTCAGTTTATGAAATGATATTTAAATATTTTTCTGCATCTATACACAAAGTTTTAGCATTTTTTCCACCTAAAGCCCTAGCTCTCAAAGGCCAAGAGCCATAGTATTTTATCAGTATCCCAATCAACTTTCTATCAAACCTTAATTTTTTTACTCCATACTCATGAAAAAATTTACTGTGTGGCCACATCAATAATACAAGAATCTTTTCAGGTTTGTTTAAATTGAGGTTAATATCTGACCAAGCAGTCTTTTAACATCCAGATGAGACTTTGAAGCGAGTCAGAGGGGGGCTGCAAGACAAGGAGTGGGTTACAGTATGTTCAGTCTGGCATGCACTGTGCAGAGGGAGAACTCTTGTGGCTTGAAAGGTTGCTGACTCCAATAAGCCGGTGGTTGAAACAGCAACTGTGATCTAATTTACAGATATTCATTTCATTTCTGGCATCACAAAATTTAGTCAGGAGCGCCATCTTCTGGCAAGTAAGTAGAATGAACAAAGGCTGACTCAACAATATAAAATTTAATGGTAACAGCAAAAACACATTTTTTATTGACCTTTATTTTTTTCTTCCAAGTACATTCATAAATAGCTGTACTGAAATCAGACTGAAGAGACTGCATGTGCAGATCCAGATGTAAAACATCAATCTGAAAAAAAAGCATGCTCCTTGCTTTTTCCAAATTTTGTATCTTTGCATTGTTTTGACAGGTAGTTTTATTTTGCTGTTTAAAGGCTACAAATTTTAATTCATAATATCAAATATATATATCATCTTTTATGCACCTGGAACCCAGGTGGCCTATAAAGCCTGATTCCCACCTTGATGCCTCACAGTAAAATGCCCTAAGTAGTCACAGTGATGGTCCAAACATGCTAGAACCCAGGTTATCTTAGCTAGACAAGTAGAATTTTAATCTTAGGAGCATAAATAAAGGAGAAATAAATTGAATATTAAATATAAAATTGACCTTTGATCTTTGAAAAACTAAGAGCTGGTAAGACATCCCACAAAGCAAAATTGGTATGGCCCGGATCTGGCCCACACAATGTGCTTACACATGGCCCACATATCGCAAAGAATGATGGCCCTTTGGTGGCCCAGATCTGGTTTGCTAGAGGTAATCCACACATAGGCCAGCCAGCACAAGGCAGACACACTGCTGGCTCTGTGTTGGCCCAGAACAGTTTCCGCTCTGGCCCCATATGTCAGCCTAATGTGTACTTTAATCAAGCCATGTAATAACAACATGTGCTGGAACATAATAGTGCAAAAGTAACATGACGAAACTCTGTTCAGACAGGGAATGGACTGATTCTTATATAGCGCTCTTCAACTCTCCCAAATTACTCAAAGTGCTCTATACAACATGCCACGTTCACCGGATCACACACTTTCTCTAAACGGAGTACTAAAATAGGAAAACAGGAACATAAATAGTGACATCATTGCCACACCTGGCCCACATCTGGTTGACATACACCCTGCCAGTCAGTCAGAAGTGCCAGGTTGATGCAGGATTTGGGTAAGACCTGTTTTCTATGAGCGTGGGCCACATAAACCAAACCATAATTGGGTCAGAAATGGCATGGCATCACATAAACAGTGCCATCATTGCCAGACCTGGCCCGTATCTGGATGACATACCACTTACCATGCCAGAAGTCAGCCAGCAGTGCTGGTTTGAGACCAGATCTGGGCCAGACCTGTCTGCTATGTGGGACAGTGTGTATACAATGGAATTTATATTGTTAGTAATTTTTTTAGGCTTTTAAGGCTTTTATTCTGTAAAAATAATTAAAAGAATAAACCAAATTATTTTGTAAAAAATGTAAATACTTATAGGCCGAGAAACCAATGATGAGCCTATGAAAGGGGAAACGTGATGCGGCGAGGGAGTAATGTATCTCTAAAATTAGAAATATCCTGTCTCAGAGTGATGCTTAAAAACTAGTTCATGCATTTATTACTTATAGGCTGAACTACTGTAATTCATTATTATCAGGATGTCCTAAAAAAAACTCCCTCCCTGAAAAGCCTTCAGTCAATGCAAAATGCTGCAGCAAGAGTACTGACAGTGACTAGAACGAGAGAGTATATTTCTCCCATACTGACTTCTCTTCATTTTCTCCCTGTTAAATCCAGAACCAAATTTAAACTTAGTTTTGATTATGGTAATCTTTTTAGAACAGATTTCTTCCTTCTACAGTATGCTGACTTCACAGGAGCCAGGCTGCAGTATCTGTAGAGTCACAATTAGTTTCACAGCTTTTCTAAACCAGGGGTAGAACATAGCATAGATCAAAGGGTTTAGACATGAGTTTAAAAGAAAGAAATAGAATGCAATAGATTCAGAGGCACTATTGAGAACCTCGTCTCCAAAAAGTGAAACAATGTAATATGGGCAGAAACATAATAGAAACACAAGAACAAGAACACCCAGTGTCCTGGCTGCTTTTAACTCTGATTTAGTTGCTGTTAGAGTCACTGAGAGCTGCAGTGTGACAGTTGTAACCTGAGAGCGCATGGCACGGGCCTGAGACACAGCCACCACAAACACTCTCATATACAGAACAATGATGACAGTAAGTGGAATAATAAAGGATATAAAAAGGTCAACAAATCCTGCAATAAATTCAATGAAAATTATACATTTTCCATAGCAAGATTTATGCTTGCCTGGTTGACTTAGATCATCTATTAAAATCACATAGCTGTACAAAACAGAGCAGAGCCAACACAGACAAACACAAAGTTTCACTTTTCCCTCTGTGATTCTGGTGGGGTAATGCAGAGGGTCACAAATAGCCACATAGCGGTCGACTGATATCAGCACCATGTTGCCCACTGAGGCAGAGGCAATGATGTAGGATACATAATTATACAATGAACATGTGAGCTGACCAAGAAACCAACACGCTGTATTTCGCAGGATTTCTCCAGGCATAAACAGAAGGCCATTGAGAAAGTCAGCGGCAGCCAGAGAGAGGAGCAGGATGTTAGTGTGTGAGTGGAGCTGCCTAGAAAGACAGGAAAATATAATTTAAAAAAATCAACAGAAAGAAACTATTCAAACAGGTATTACAAATCAGGTATATAGACTCAGCAGGTAAAAAAAGTGATACTCTGCCTGAAGTGGGAGATTGCAATGATGACAAGCAGGTTGAGAGTCACAGTTAGCAGAGACATTGATGGCATCAGAATGTGAAAGAGCAAAACTTGTGATAGAGGAGTTGTAGGCTTCTTGCAGGAGGTGTTGAAGAGTTGTGGAAAGCAGAGCTCTGCTCCGCCCTGGGTATCCATCTTCACAGACCTGCAGAGAGCTGCAGCATTGTGACCAGAATTAGTAATATCCCCACACCTTCTTTAAACTCCTCCCCTTATCATTCTCTCAGTGTCTGTTGGATACTGATGCCCCTCTTCCCTTCCCTTGGGCCAATATATTAATTAATTTTTGATCATAACCATATCTATCTCACTCTCTGCCTGTCCTCATCCCTCTTTCTTCGAGTTTTTGTATGTGATCTCATCAGGATGTCATTCAAGAGCTTCCCATCATATTGGACGAGATAAATGGTAGTTTACATAGAAATTGCCACTATTTGTTTTTCCCCTCACAATCATCATAGACAGAAAGCAAGTCTTTTTTTTAATCACTTACTTGTTGTTTCAGATATAAGTACCCGAGAAAAAAACAATAGGCATTGCATAAATAGTATAACAGTATAACAATTATGTTATTTAAAGTCGCTAGTATCTGTTCAAACGGTATTTGACCATTTAAAAGTTTTATATTTATCCTTTCATTGTTTTTTCTTTCTCATCTTGTTCATCCACCTCTTCCATTTCTACTCTTGCCTGCTCATATCCATCTCATCCTTTTCCCCCTCAACTTAATCATCACTCCTGAACTGTAATTAGTGTTTTAACAAAAGAAATCCTCCAGGTTCAAACTTAATTTAATCTCTTTATTGTCGCAATTAAGTTATCATCATGCAACCTCCCATCCCTGGACAGATGACAAGAAATGGCTATGCAACAACATAACATTACAAGCTAGCTTGATGTTGTAAGTTTTAACATCCTAAAACTTTTTAAGTAATTTCCCTCTGATCAACAGTTTAATTACATTTTCACATCATGAAAGTTTATTTGTGGAATGCGAATCTACACATGTTAGATCCACTGCAAAAAAAGTTTCAGTAACAGCCATGAATGGCAGCAAACAGGGGATAACAGCAGTGCCCCAAGAAAGGAATTTCTATTTAACTTTTAGTATTTATATCATGTGTTATAGAACTAGTCAAGGATTTCTTTTTTTTAACATTTTTAAACATTATTTATCCAGAGACACATCCTTTGATCCCATCAACATCAGAGGGGAAGATAATTCATAGCTCTGCAATGACTTGTTTTGTGCAGAGCTATGTGTGAAGGAACCTCCTTGTCAACTCAGTTTACTGAAAGAAAAAAATAAGTCAAGGCACATATTTAACAGCTTTTGGAGAGTAAAGTGATTAGAGAAAATTGCTATCCCTTTGCATCCTTAGTAGTATTAGTACTAGTTTTAGTTTATGCCAATGTTTCACAACCCTTCATTTTGAAGGTTGATGTTCATTACTCATGTTGTTTGGGTGCCCCGCTTTCACAGCAGTATTCAGATGATAGGGTACGTTCTATAGCTTATGCTAGCTGACGATTAAAGCCCACTGTATGCAAAATGTCAAATTACAGCTCCAGGAAACTTGAGTTCCTAACTTTACAATGGGCGAAAAGTTCAGAGGATATATGTTGGTTCATAAATGTGGTCTTCACAACGTTAACGATCCCTAGAGCTTTCAGACCACAGCAAACCTTGGAGCTTTGAAGCAATGCTGAGCTGCTCAAATATCCTCCTTTAACCTTTCAATTAAATATCATCGAGGTTGGGTCAATGGTAATATGGATCCTCTCTCCTGCTATTGTCAGTCATCTGCCTCAATGGCACATATTGAGAGCTTGCTTTCTGGTACCCTTCTTCCAGATGCCTTAATTTGCAGCCAGATGGTGGTGCACCAATACAGCAATTAGTACTCTCTCAGAGCCTTAGGGATAAGGTCTTGTTTCACAATGAGTATGGTTACCAGGCGATTGATAGGACACCAATACAAAAAACATTTTGAGAGGTGAAACTTGAGTCTTAGTAACGCCCCTTTTAGGCAGGGTTGGGTTCTTCTTTTCTCTTTACTAGCACAGGTAGAAGAAAGTAGGGGTATTTTGTTTGAACTTGGAGCTTTGTGGGGCTCCTTGGTGCAGAGCAGTGGTGTGTTTGAACTTTTTGACATGTAGGAGAAGGCTTTATGGTTCACTCCCGTTAGATCGTCATAGTGGCCCCTCCCAACTCTTCTCATGATACCTGTTAGGGTGGGACCCTATTATGGAGACAGCCTACAAAAAGAGTAGAGTAAACTGGGAGAGATAGTCACTCTGAAGTAACTTGTTCATTTAATATATTTATGCTTTGCTTCAGTTAACAGATCGCCAGGCTGTTTCTTTGTCAGTGTGGATTTCAGGCTGCTGGTCTGAGGTCCTTACATGCGTGTGGCTACCAGAATTTGTGGGGTTTTATTGAAATAGCTTAGAGCTGAAGACTTTTGTATGTTTTTGTATATTAACACATTGCATGTTTAAAAACAGTGGAGAGCACAGAGATCAGTGGTTAATTGTTATTAATTAATTGTGTTCAGGGTAGTTTAATAGTCCATGCTGATTTTGGTGCTTGGAGTATGTTTTTTCTTTTGATTTCAGTGGGGTGTCCAAATTCATAGGCTGCATCCTCCTGAGGACTCAGCGTTCAGTCTACGTGGCCCAGGTCAACTCGCCAACTGGTCAGGGAATGCACATTACCAAAAGTTGCCACGAGGTTTTAAGGTGCCCTTTAACCTTTGTGACAGAGGCGATACCAAGCACTGCTTCATAACAACAATTGCCCTTAAACACTGATGATCTGTCAAATAGAATTTAAATGGCTTCTGGGGCATAATAATTATATATAGAGAACAACTGTCTAGTCTGAGAAAGGGGGAAAAACACTTTCAACTTTTGGAGCAAAGTCAGAAAACTTTACAAAGCATGTCTTGATGCATGCTCAATCATCCAGGTATGTAAATCTCCAAAAGTTGATTCTGAAGCTACCCTGGAGCTCTCTTTTCCAGCCGATCCAGGAGAGTAGGACAGCTGCCTAAAACCTGTAGTGATCCCGTATGTGTCAGGAGTATCAGAACAGTTGAGATGCATTTTTTCTAAACACGGTGTCTCTGTGGTTTTTAAACCCCAAAACACGCTGCGACAAAAATTAATCTGTGTCGGGGATTGGGTCCCCGACACAAACAGAGTAACATAGTGTACGCAGTTAAGTGCCAGGACTATACATTGGGGAAACCAAACAACCTCCTGCGAAGCAGATGCACAGCACAGAAGAGCTACCTCGTCAGGCCAGTAGTCTGCAGTCTACTTACACCTACCTTACACCACCTAGTGGACACTCTTTCAATGATGAGGATGTTCACATCCTGGACAGAGAGGAACGCTGGTTTGAGCGCGGAGTCAAGGAGGCCATTTAGGTGAAAAGGGAAAGACCATTTCTGAATCGAGGAGGGGGCCTAAGGGTACATCTTTCGCCATCGTACAATGCTGTGATTGCAGCCATTCCCCAACTTGATCAGTGAGCTTTGATCAGTGGGCCTTGATCAGTGGTTGTTGATCAATGGTCATGAGAATTTGCACAATTATGATGAAGGAACTGACCTCCCTGCCCTTTGTCCCTTCAGTGGGCTGGTTTCAATCATTATGCAAATGTACTGTTTATAAGATTGGGGAAACCTGCAGTCAGCTGAGACTGAAGAAGACACTTGGATGAGTGACGTAACGTTTGTCCCACTGTAAACGCTACGTCCAGATGAACAGAATCAACTTTTTCAATTCATGATTAATGATGGATGGAAAAATCTATGATCATATTATCTATGTGCTAAAAGAGCTTCTTCTAGAACATTCATTGTGACACATAAATGTGAAAATTCGGATTGAAGGAGGTAAGAAGAGAGGCACAACAGTGAGTGTCTAGAACTATCTGTAAAACATTGTTTTGAACTGCATTTCAGCAAGTGGTGCTTGTGCTTTCATACCCTCCACAACATTTAAACCACTATAATTCTCAAAGAGACAAAGACAGACAAAACTAAATCATAAACACTATACATAATTGTTTATTATACTAACTAATTTGTATGTTATACTTGGATGCCCACACGTGAAACCTATTTTTAATGTCCTACCTTTAAACTGTTTTAATTAGTATACCCTACAGCTTTAAAATTGTACCAGTTTTTTTGTGAAATGGGGCACTTTTGAATCATCTAAGAAAATATTTTGAATTTAGTGCAACTTTTGATTCTCAATAAAACTAGATTAATATTATACTGTACAACTCAAATGTAATGCAATTTATATAACAATTAAAAATATTACATTTTAATTTGTTATTAATATATCAAATATATCAAATATACAGTCTACAATATGGTTCTAAGATAAGCCAAGGCATTTTGCAACTTGTCTAATAAAGGAATGTGGCTTTTTCAGAAAGCTGTAGTACCTTGCCCTTTTATTAATATACTGAGTAATAATTTGCAATCTCTATCATTTCTCTTATAAATTATAAGTTCTCTTAAAGCGACAGAAAAGATTTTATCTTCTGCTTGTTTAGTTTTGCCCATAAAAATATTTTTAAAGGAGATTTCTTTTTTCTACAGTATGCTGACTTCACAGGAGCCAGGCTGCAGTATCTGTAGTGTGACAATTAGTTTCACAGCTTTTCTAAACCAGGGGTAGAACATAGCATAAATCAAAGGGTTTAAACAGGAGTTAAAATAGTACAGATAGATCACAATAGTTGCAGATGAGCTATTAAGCACCTTTCCTCCAAAAACAAAAATACAATAATGAGGACAGAAACATATTAGAAACACAAGAACAAGAACACCCAGTGTCCTGGCTGCTTTTAACTCTGATTTCTTTGTTGTTAGAGTCACTGAGAGCTGTAGTGTGACAGCTGTAACCTGAGAGCGCATGGCACGGGCCTGAGACACAGCCACCACAAATACTCTCATATACAGAACAATGATGACAGTAACTGGAGCAATAAAGGTTAAAACAATATCAGTGGTTCCTGCAATGTAGTCTACGAGAATTTTACACTCTCCATAACAGGAATTATGTTGCCCTGGTTGAACCAGTTCATCCTTTATGAGCAAAATGTTGTA